CCCCCTCCCCCCCCCCCCCCCAAAAAAAATAAATAAAATACAAAAAATAAAAATTCAAAGAAAGAAAGAAAATTGCTAAAGAAAGAAAATTGCTCTTATACTCACTCCATAATCTCTCTCAATTTGTTCTCTTCCGTTCCATTCAGAATACATAATCTTTCATTTTTTACACTCCTGTCTTCTCATTCCCTGCTTCCGATTTTCTACGGTATTTCTCTTGTTTCTGGATTTTGTTTATTTTTATTTTTTTTGGTTATTTGTTAACTTGATAGATTAAATAGCTAGATCTACTGTAGAGTTTTAAAAAAATCTTGGTTTATCCTTTTTAGTCGCTCGCTCTTTAAATGGATTAGAATAAAAAGGAAGGAAATCGGAAAAAGAATTTACGGGCATAAATTTCTTTGAGAGAATTAGACAAACTGGAGATGACAATTTACAATATAGCACGAGTAATTTATTATACTGATATGGTGCAATTAATGGCTTGGCTGTTTATTTGTATTTGTTGTTACCAAAATTGTTAGGTACGGCAACTGAAATGGTGAGAAAAGGTGGCAAGAGAAGGTCAGCTCGTGCTGGTTTTCGGGTAAGAAACAATATATATTTAGATCTGTTGATGTAAATTCATTTTTACAGTTTTTGATCTTTATGTGCATAGCCATTGTGCTTTTTCTGAATGGGAACCCTAGAGAAGTCTTTAGGTGTTGGTTAATAGCGATGTTGCTTGGACTCTATTTCGGATGAAGTACTTGTATAGACACGCACCAAAGATGCGAGGATGGGATCTGTGTTAGATATTTTAAATAAGAAGATGATCCTTTATACCATTCTTGTCATTTTGGTATGGATTTAAAATGATTTCTAATATGTATCTCCCATTTCTTAATGAGGTATTACAATTTGCAACTTAATTTGTTCTAAAATTACAGTCAAACATGTGTATATATATATAAAATGCTCCTAAAATTATCATTATATAATTTTTAAAGAAAAAATTGAATTTGTAAGACATATTTATGTATTTGTGTCTAAATTTTGGATCCTTTTTAGCCGTACTCCCTTATCCTATATATATATATATATATATTTTTTTTTTTTTTATTTGAGAAAAAGGGATCTAACTCTTAGATATATACCTATATTGGACAACCGTATCCGAGTTCACGCAACATAGGTTAATTTATAACTATTTTTAATTATTCATTAGTTTAAAATTATGTGTGCAGAATTTTTTTTTCCCCATCTAATTTAAGTTATCTTTTTTTGACTTTAAATGAGATGTCAACATTAGTTTAAATGCTCATGGAACATGTAAAAAGATATTATCAACACTTAACTTTTGATATGCTTTGTAGATTATGGTTATATTGCCTATTTACAAGAGCATGAAAGGGAGGGAGAATTTCATGCACTTAGTGAATATATTGTTGATCCCAGTTGCACTTTTGATGTGCTTTGTGCATTATAATTAGGGTAATACTATACGTATATCAGAGTATTTATAACGATGTCCACCCTCCTTACATGGAGGGCGGACTCACTTCGAATAAAATATAATTTATCTGAAGTGGGTCTTCCTCTGTGTAAGGGAGTGGACACCATTATGAACGTTGCATTATAGACAAGTAACATATTCCTTATAATTTTATTGCTTGTTTCAAGTGCATTGAAAAAAGGGAAAATTTGAAGTGCACTGTAAATGTATTGTTAATCCCAATGGCAAAGCATGGTCATGTATGATCAGGAATTCTTTTCAACATATATATTTTCGTGATCTTAGTACATGTTAAAATGTGGTTATCTCAATAAGCATTCATTCGCAGCTTCGATAAACATTAATCCTTCAACATAGAACTGAATATTAAACTTCGAGTATTCAACTGTTCAGCATATATGTTTGCTAGTTGAGATGGGGGTTACAACTAACTGTTGATGATTGATGATTCTACTCAAAGGACCTACAAACGCATGTTTTCGGCCTTTTTCCTTTTGCATATGTGACGGCCGTGTCCCTGTACTCGAAAAACCTGTATTATATGTATCTCTATTTCTCAAGACGTCTTAGTTAAACTTGGAGATAGAAGTCTTCTTTCATTTCTTGACTTTGAAGTTGGACCAAGCTCATGAGCTTATAATTGTAGGTCGGAACAAGTTGGTAGGATACATCAGCAGGGGAGCGTTCCGCCTTAGAAGGAAGCCCCCGCGCGAGTAGTGGTGGATGAAGCTGAAGCGGGTCCCCCTTTTTTCATCTCCATGTCCCCCGTGTGGTGACATGAGGACTCAAGAAAATGCAAAATTGAGAAAATCATCGGCAAATTTGCCTTTTTTTTTTCTCCTCGTCTTTCTTCCGTTTTTTCGTAGTGTTAACAATGGGTGCTACAGAGTAAGGATAGAGGGTATTTAAGAGCGTTTAGTTGTTCGACGGTAGTTAAAAAAATTGAAGTCTACTTTTCTATTTCTCTCCGGACTTTTTAGAATATATCCAGAAAAATTTAGCCCCCCCGTTTGGCCCCCATTTTTTGGAAATGAAAATGGGTGGAATAGTATTTTTTTGAAAAATGAGTGGTTGAAAAAGATGGAATTTTTTTTGATTTATGTGTAATATTTTTTATGGAAGATGGTGTGATTGAGAATAGAAGAGAGAAAAATGGAATGTAATGGAATTTAATGTAATGAGATTCAAAGATGGGCTTATTATCTAATTAGTTATTGTGAGAAGGAACATAGTGAAAAAGTTAATTTTCATCCCATGTTCTGCCATCTCAAATGATTTCCCACTTCACCCCACA